TCGATCGCCGGAGGCGATCGGCCAGACATAGAAACAAATTTGTTGAAATTGTAGGCCAGAGGCGGGATATCTTTGAGCACACGGTAACACGTTCAAACGATCCGATACTGTGCGGGATAGACAGGTTTGCAAAGTTTCTTGTATTGTTTATTGTCGAAGAGTTGACATTCGACAGTCTTGACAAGTATAAAAAAACGATAAAACATTTTCTGTCGCAGAGCGGAATATTGCAATTCTTCAGTGATACCCATATTGTGTGTTCATATTATCTACGTTAATCAATTATGCATATAGCAGTAACGGAACAATGGGGTCTCCTTAAGAAACCAAAGAATATTAATAATAATAATTCAGATAATAATTAATAATAATTAATAATTAATATATAATTATATATATATATATATTATATATATAAATAATATATTTATATAATAATATATAATATTATTAATATAATAATATAATATTATAATAATAATATTATTAATATTAATAATTAATAATAATTAATAGTTAATAATTCAGATTTTTTCGGACAACTTATTATCCGTAGTTAACACGATAATGTTAATTCAAATTTGTAAAATTTCCATGGAATTAACTGCAAACGATGATCCCCGAAGAGTTTTCGCATGAAGTCGGCCTTCGTGGAGAGTTGGTCCACCTCCGCTTCTTCATTCAAATTTCATCCAAATTAATCCAGATTGCTGCAGTACGATCCGCTCGCGGTGGGCGAGGGGTTGATGGGGGCCGGTGGATGGGGATGGGGATGGGGGATAAAGGGGGGCAGACGAATGACCCGGAAGTCGTAAGGGGTAGGATCCGGGCATTGTCTTGCACCGGTAACGACGATGTTCCACGAGCTGCTGGCAACTTCGGTAATTATGTCGTGCTCGTGAGTTTAACTGGCCCCGTCGCACGAAATTGCAATCTGACACCGGCCGTCGCCATGTCAGTTTCAATTAAGGATTTTATCCTCGCCCGCCTATCATCCATGCACCACCCTCCCGCTTTTCTGGTACCCTTAGCGACAAAATTTCTGACGCGATCCCGTCCTTAATGCAGCCATCGAAATTTAGACGTACATATGGGAGACCGGGGCAAACTCGACATGATTTTTTAACAGGCTATTTTCAACAATTAATAACAATTTTCAAGCAAATTCAATGATATACATTTAAAGAGTGTTCCTTCAGGTACAAAATTGGTTAAAGAAGTTTTGCTGTATGTCGCTTAGTTTTGCCCCCAGGAAAGGAAAAGTAATGCGAAGATAAATTTTCAAATTGAAAAATGCCGGGGCAAACTCGACACTTTGCCTGATCGACACAACTTGATCTGGAACTTATTTTTTATTGTCTGAAACTGAAAATACATTGTTTATCGTGTATTTGGAAAGTACAAAAATTCGGAATTAAATAAAACAATCACTGGAAATAATGAAAACAAAATTTGTTGAACTTTTTTACGAGAGATCAGAAAAATTACTTTTCACCATCAAAAACGCTTATGTCGCGCTAAAAATTACACTATAACAGAATATCACCAAATTTCGTTTATAATACTGGCACATGAAGACGCATTTACAGTAGGAAGGGCAAGTTTCTACGATAGATTATAAATTGGCAAAAAGCCTAGTGTCGAGTTTGCCCCGGTCTCCCGTACCATCGCAATATTGAGTCATATTTCTGGAACCAGTTAAAACAATTTTCTGGGAAAAATCATTGCGAATTGAAATCTCTTCTGATACTATGTAAAAATAAAAATTTCTCATATTCCTCGAAAATTCAAGAATTTCACGCGAGTTTAAAGTGATTGGATAAATAATAATGATAAATTAAAATGGCAAAATACTATTATAATGATAAATTGTAGTGGTGAAATTAAAATAGCATAAAATGGTAAAAATTCATAACACGATAGCAAAAATTTAATTCTTCTGCAAAAAAATTGGGTGTATTTAATTATCTAGATTGACGTATTCGGAACATTTTTTCCATGTGGTCCTGAATTATTCTACAAGTATCCTTTGATCTTTGAGGCGAATTGGAGCCACAGAGATCGAATTATCCGACAATTTAAGTTAGCTATCATGCTGGCTCGCATGGTATTTTTATTTCGAGTCAAAGTAAATTTAGGAATCTCTTTAGAAACGAAATTACCCAGCATCGGCATGCTTCTCGGCGGGATGTGAGAACCAAAATCTCGCGGTCACCTTCGCGATTCACGACTGAACGTCCTTTGGGGTTTCCTCCTGGTGATCCTGCCTATTATCCTGTCCATAAACGCGTTTTGACACATTCGGGATGCAGAGAATAGGGTCACTTCCGGTCACGTGAATCCGGTCACGTTCGTATTATCTAACAATAATGTAACTTTGATGGCAAACCGTCGGGCCATTATAACGTATCTACATAATCGATACGATAGTGCGCACTGCTGAATTATCAGAATTTATGTGTAACATTTTGTTGTTTAAATATGCAGTTAAAAAAAGCGCATAAATAATAACCGTCACTTTGCAAGATAAATTCCAGGGTGAGAAAACGTATCCTCGAGGATATTTCATTGCCTCTTTAGGCATCCCTTCTTCAGAGTTTGCCCCATGTTTCCTTCGGGAACGGACTTTAGAGGCGGGAGTTGAAAACTACCCCTCGCGTCTTTTGTAAACTCGGGACAATTCGTTGCGTTCCTTGACAGCGACGATATTAAAATCGAAAAATGCAGTTCTGAATAGGAATGAAAGTTTGGCGATTCGAGCAGCTCAAGTAAGACTAATAAATCAGAGTTTGAGGTGGGAAGAACGGATGAGCTCTCAATTAAATTAATTTATGTATATTGATATTTATATAATAAAAAATATATATTTTTCAATATAATTTATGAATTTTCCGAGAGATTGTGAAAGATTAAAATAAGAGATTAAAATAGTATTTATCATAACCTCGGTCATAACTATACCGTAGAAAGGGAATGATATATGTTTCCTTGCATCTCTGAACATGGCATATAATAGCGCTAATATATCGCGATAAACAAAATCCCCTGTTCTATCCCCGACTTATCGCAGGTTGCATAATAATGCGTTAGATAATGCAATAGTAGCCCGCTGGTTTGGAGGCTTTTAGCGGAATCTACGCAAACCGCGGATCCTATTAGATCCCATCATCATCTATATTCTCATAAAATATTGTTGCTCATGCATTACTGCATGCGTGTAAAATCGATTATTGCAAAAATATAGCAAGCGGAAGGTTCTAATTGGGGGGGAACCATGTAGATACTCGAAATTTATTATAGAAATCATTTTCGCAAATATTAATCATGCGCGAATATTCGTTGTCTGAAAAACGTTAGCAAATATTATTATTTTCCTGCTATTTGTGTTATTTATTTAATATTAAAATCTGATTTGTTTTGCATAATTTTATCGAATATTAAATATATTAATATGGTATATTACTAATAAGAAATATTAATTCAATATTTCGCATAAAAGATATGATATTTGTGAAAATAAAGTTATCAAGTAATTAATTTAACAGTCAACATTCTTTGCTAAGACTTCTGCTAATGATTGCTACTTTTAATTAGCAAATTTAATAAGCGAAGTGTCGTAGAATAATGAATTAGCCTATCTCCAAGTAAGATTTGTCGTTTTTTATTTTCACTGTAATAGATTTGAGAAAGTTTAAAGCGCTGAAGTTTATATTGTTGACTCAAGCTATACGTGCACTACCCATTTTTCTCTTTTTTTTTGTGTTAATTTGTATTTTTTGCACAAAAGTGTCCAGTATGTCCGAAAGACGAGAACGCGTAAAAATAATTTTACAGATCGCCGGTACAGATCGTTGAGAAACGTCCTAATTTCGTTGGATGGCAGGTGAAAGTAAACCTTCAGCTCACACGAGAATGATATCCTTCCTAGATGTACACTGTACCTAGTACACGGGCACTATAGCGTGTCATTTTCTGCGAAATGACTTGCGTAAGAATCTCCATTAGCCTTCACATTTATCCCGCGTTCTCCGTCCTCGTCTCTCCTTCTCTCCCATTTTCCTACATCGTCCCCGTTCTGTTCTTCTCTCTCTTTTTTTTCTCTGCCCTGTTTCATTTTTCTTCGCGCCCTTTCATATTTTCTCCTTTTCTTCTCATCGCATTCTCTTTCTTGTGTTCGCCCTTCTCCAGCTTCTCCTGTTCTGATCTAGCTTTATGCTAGCGCGCGCGTGTTCTTTTTCCGCTCTTTGTTCCCTTTCTCTCGCTTCTCGCGTTCTTTCTGCATCATCCTTCTTCTAAATCTATTTATAAGTATTCGTTCACTGAGTCCTCTTTGTTGCGAAGTCTCAGCTTCAATTTGTTGTACTCATCATCACTGTCGCTCGAACTTCTCAAGCTTGCTTGATAGGATTGACGCTGTCATAAATTTGCAACGCGTCTGTCGTTGAAAAATTTTCATGAACAAAAGTTGACCTTATTCTTCTATTCGCGCCGTTACATATAAATCAAATATAACGTGACATTATTATACGATCGCGCGAGAGCTCAAAAATATAAAAGAACTTAAATTAAATTTGAATAATATACATGCACACACACACACACACATAATAGTTATTTCGTCTGTAAAGATATTTGCCGAGCATTCCGTGGATATACATATAAATGTCTTAATACAAATTCCTCCTAAATTGTTCTCGAACGCTCGAAATGCCGAAATTCCTCTCGGACATCCCGAGTCATCGATCTTTTTTTTTTTATTCCTCGCGAAGATTGACGAAACGTCCTCTCGATCTGACTCTTTCCCAACGGCTTGCGGCAGACGGTAGACAGTGGATATCGCAATTGCGCTCCGAGCCGTTGGCAACCTCCTCCCACTCCTCCCGCTTCTAGCGGGACTTGTTGACGCCCAACAGCTGACGGCCACCGCCACGTGCAACACGACGCGACGCATGCGTCCGATCAGTACGCGGCGCGTCTCTGCTGACGGAGCACCCGTTATAGCGCGTTGTGAAATGTTGTACTTAGGCTCTTTTTTTCCCTTTGCCCCATATTCGAGCCCCGCATTTCGGTGACTAATACCGAAAAAAACAGCGAACGATTGAATGTTGGAGACGTTGTAATAATTCGCGTGTGTAATTAACAGATTTACGTGAAAAAAATGCGAAAAAAGTAAGTAAAAAGGCACGCTTTTTTATTAATAATATAATTATTTTGAAAATTTTGAAATTTTTTTGAAAAATTTCGTATTAAGATAGCATTGAAGTATGAATTACTTTTCCGCTTATTTAAAGGTAGTGGAAAGGTAATATCTTGATTTAATTCAAGGAAATACAGAGTACAGTTATTCCGTACGTGGTAAATGTTCTCGTGAATTCTACCGGCAGACGCTACTCGGTTGTTGTCGACCAACCGGCTTGTTGGAGTATTGTTAACGTATTGAACGATACAATTGAGAGATGCAATTAGTAGCGCGTGCGGTTAAACGTTTTGTTTTGTGAATGCAAAACGTTGAAACGATGAATCAGATAAATTCCGGCGTAATCTAAATCAACGTTGAATCAAAAGCTATGTCGGTTATCAGTAATACGATACGGTATCTTCGACATTTGTCGTTCGGTATGATAAAGCTATATTTAAACGTGACGATATTTTTCGCTCGCGCAACAATATACGGATTCCGGATTCCGGGTTTCACTGTGAAATTGGACGCAAATATTTGTAAAAACTAATTGTGCACACACATTTTAATATAACATTCTAAACCAACATTCCATCTCTCTGAGATACATCTCTTTATTTGCAGAATTAAAATTTATATTTATATAAATTTTAATTTTAATTATTGTATTTTATTACAATTTTAATTATAATTATTATGCTTATAAATTTATGCTTTAATAGAGAAAACATTTTCTCGACATATTTATAATTTATATTATATAATGTATTATGTTTTTAAAGAAATTTGATTTTTACGGTATCGATGCCAACAAGATTGACATAAAAGAAAAAATAAAAACCTAAAATGCCAAGAAAATAAATCTGTGAGGCACCACTTAATTAATTAATTATGATATAATAATGTAATTTATGAATAAACGGATAATTATAAATTATGATAAAATTTTATAAAATAATTGGTGTCTAATTGTGACATATACTCTTGTGATATTTGTGCATTTTGCGTTTCTGCCTTTTTTTCTACATTAGGGTACTTTTTTTAAATATCACGCACAAATGTAGTTAAATAAACTCGCGGTAGTTGCAATGAAATCTGACATTGAAATCTGACATCGCGTCAGTTCGTCTACCAGCGCACACCTGTAATTAGAGAAGTGCATTGTAATTCGCTAGCTGACGTCAATCTTTCCTTCGTCATGTAAGTACTGTAAAAACATTATAAAATGCTGTAATATACACTGACTATTTAATAAATACATAATTAATAATTATTTTTTAAATATATGCGGGTATTCTATTTTTTATAAAAATCACACCTAACTAATTCTGGAAAAAAAATGAATTGTATGACAAAACGACTCAGACGAAAGTTTCAAGAAAAAAGTATGATGTAACACATATTTTATAATTAAGTATTTTTTAAGATATTAACATTATGTTTGTTTTAATGGAACTATGTAATATTTTTTATTTAATATAATTCGTCTAGCCATTTTACGCAGTATACTAAAAGTATTAAGATAACTACTGATTTATTTTGATAAGGTATTTATCAAAATAAAATCAGTAGTTTACCAGATATTTTATGTTAGAATACGTTAGAATGTAATATAAAATATTTTAAAAAATATTTTTTTTTGCTTTAATACTTTTATGACAAAATTATTAAATAAATTGATTGACATAAAAGATTACATAATGTGACAGTTACGAAAACAATTTATGATTTGCGGTGTGTAAAAGCAGCTGTGTGTTTTGTTTATATCAAATATTTTATCTTATTACTTTACGCGTGAAAATATTATGAAAGTTACGGAAGTTGAGGAATATTTTGCGCGAGGTATAGTTTATACTTTATATTAAAATACGCCAGAATATCAAACACTTCGCCAGGCGGTCGCCAGAATATCAAACATTAAACTTAATTTTTTGACATCTTCAATATTTTAGTATACTTGTAATGAAGGAAGGGTCTACGTACTATGTAAGAAAAATTACGTCGTTTTATTTAAAAGAACGCTGATAATGTTGATTTTTAAGAAATGAATGGCATAAAAAATATTTTGCATGCATCATATTTTCTCCTAAAAAATACGAAACTTTAGCCTGAGTAAATTTTTTCATAAAGTTTAATTTTCTGAAATTATTTAGGTGTAACTTTTCAACTGAGACACCTCTTATACATGTGACATATGTAAAATATTAAATTAACAAAAATTTTTATTGTAATGATAATATCGAGGCATAAAATATCATTATTAAAAAATATTATTGTACTTTTGAAGAAATGGAAAAAACATTCTGTTTTTATTACCGTAAGTCTTAGTTTGTGAATCTTTAGATTCAATATTTTTTTTCATAATATTACTCGCTTTTACAATGTGAAATCTATTTTCTAAAACCGGTTGTTTAATCAATTAATATGTACATATTAGGTTTCTACAATAATAATAATAGCAATAATAATAATAATAAATAATAATAATAATGACGATGACGATGATAATAATAAATAGTGTTATATGATTTATTAACCGCAAATAAACAGGGACATAAAATTCTATCGCCGCGAAAGTTTTTGGTCGAGGAAAAGTAGCCGCGGTTCTGCGCGAGTGAAATTTATTTGTCTGCGTACTTTTGTAAATCCCATAGTTTATTCCAGACGGTCGCCATTACCCCCGCCGCTATTAACGGAATCATAGACATAATATAAATAGCCGTAACGCGTTCCATGCCAGCAATGCTTTAGAGTACGAGAACTACGAGAAGCAAGTTAAACCGAGAGAAAATCTTGGAGGTCATTGTCTAAATGTTGGACGTCTCCCTTTTGTCTCCCAACATTTCTCACTTTCTTTTGTCGAGAGAGATTGATGTGGCCCCTTCACAAGTCTCCTCCTTTCCTCCTAACAAGTATTGTTCAGTCGTCGAGTTTCACGCTCGGTCTATTTATTATTATGTTTTTCTAACGTTTTTCTATATCTTATTTCTTATATTATATCTTATATACGATTGAAATGACGAGCCATTATTTTCGAGCTGCTTTAATAAGCGCTCGTTTTCACAGTCTCGACGCTTATTGATTTTAGCTTCGAAACGCATGCGAAGGGCGGGATGGAGGGGAGAGAGTGGGAAAGGGCGAGGGACAGAGGTTGGTGGCTCTAATTGGATTAAAATTTCATCGAGAGAGAGAGAACGGATGCACTGTTCTTCAGCGACTCTTTCATTGGACATTGAGCCGGGTTTTCGTCTTGAACCGCGGTAATAATGACTCTTAAACGCCATGAAACTGCAGAGAGCGATAGGAAGAATGATATTGATAGATCGAATTTTCCAAGTGAAGTCCTTCCGCACGAAATAAACGGACGATAAATAACATGTGTCAGGAATTAAATGCGATTATATATTTACTAGAATTACATAAAATGATTAACATTGTTCTCGTAAAATGACCTAATTGGAGCGAATAATCCTCTCGAATACGTTCGATGAATAATTCAAACAATTCTCACGTAACATCGAAAGTTATTGGATAAAAAAATTAATGGCACGGGAAATCAACGAATAAATTGCGGAAAACCCACATAAAGCGTTCGGTAAAATCCGGTAGAAAATTATCATAAAACTGGCGCGTGAAATTCGCAAAAAGTCCTCTTAAAATCTAGCATTAATTAGCAAAAAAATTGTACAAGCTTGATAGGTAATTTGAAGCAAAGATTTGCATACGATTGACGATTGAGCCGCGAGGAATTTGCATGAAATCGAAATATAATTTGCAAGAACTCGGCACGTGTAAAGTTTACAACGAAATGTTTGAGGCAAAACTGCACAAATGGCAAAGAAAGAAGGCATCCACGGACGAATTTATACGATAGATATTTCCGTAGATCTTTTCTAATTTGCAAGAGAATCGATGGGAGAGTAGAATAATTGCGAAGATTTCGCAAAATCGGCGGAAAATTGGCGTGAATTGCGAGCCGAGAGGGTTACGATGAGAAGGATTATATAGAAGTCGAAGCGGAATAGGTGATTCCCGTGAGAAACTCGAAGAGTGTCCGGTGGCTAATTATCGAATACCATCCGTGCAAAACTATGCGAGCTACGCACGGTATTCTACGGAATACGACCGCAAGTCTCGCCGCGGAAATCGCGTTCTCGCGTGATTGCGGTCCGGATCGGAGATTGCGATCGATCGATTCGAGTCTTCTGTCAATACATACGAGAGAGAGAAATCCATTTTTATTCATTAACTCTATTCTTTTCCTCTCCTCCCTCTCCCTACCCCTTCTCTTTCTCCCCCTCCCCTAGTTTTATCTCTCTCGCTCTTCTTCTTTCTCCTTCTATTTAAATTTAACTAATATAAAATCTAAGATCAAATAAAATTGCTCTAATTTTATCTTTATTAGACCGTTTATACACTTATACATTTATCAAGTTTTGTATTAAGCATTGTTTGAGGCAATTGGCGTTCAATGAAGCAATTATATACAATTATGTTTATACTGAATTTTTACACGGAGAGAATTGTCTCTTAAAATTTACCCTGAAATCATGGTAGTTGTGGGACAACACATGTACCACCAAGAATTTTATGCGAGCTATTCTGATTAATATCCACCATAATAAAAAATATTATTATCTATTACATTAAAATATAAAATATATTTGATTAATTTTACTAAAACATATCTAGAAAATTTTAATAATTTTTCAAAATTTACCAATCTGCTTGGTAATTTTTATCACGTTGTTTGTAAAATGTTTTGTATATTTTAAAAATTCCTTGGTTGCTAAGTTGTCCCAAGTTTGTAGTGAATTTAAGAGTAAAATATAACAAAAAATTCTCTCCGTGTACATTTGGATTTATATTAGAGTTTCGTTAAACGATCACATTTATATTGAGAACCAAAGTTCTGAAACAAATTCCGTCGAAACACAAAAATTACGCAAGTCAACATTACATTTTCTAAGAATCGCGTTTTCAGATGTAT